TATATATATTATATTATATATATTTGGAAACAAGCAATTAAAAATTGGGTTTGTGGGGTTTTTTTCTTCTCTTTTTGGAGCAGCTATTGTAACGTAAAAAAGTCATCATTACATTTTTTTTTTCTAGGAAAAATACAATCTCTTCTTTAGGGGCTGTTCAGGCTTGCTCTCATCTATTTTCTTTATTTTCATGGCTCTTTCTGAGAGAGGGGGAGGAGATGGAGAGGATGAAGGATGGAAGGAAGGAGGGAGGAAGGAAGGAAGGAAGTGAAGGAGAAAGAAAAATAACCTCCATTAAAACACAAAGCCTCACAACGTTTTTCGAAGAGGAACTGGCATCTGTGCATTAAGCCATATCACCCAGGAACACATTTTAGGCTCAGGAATGTTGCTTTGAGCAGATGTTAATTTTGGCTAAAGCCGACATATTTCTTTGGGGAAAAAAATGCCAATTTTTGGAGGATATCAGTGTAAATCCTGAAATTCCAAGACCTGCTTTGTGCAAGACCTGTTGTACAGGCAACAGCTCACATGAGCCCCTGGAAGAGAACCGAGCTGGCTCTGGCTCCAGTTGGGTTTAACTAACTGCTTCCAAGGTGATTTGCCCTTCTGTGCCTCAGTTTCCCTCACCTGTAAAATGGAGCTGTAGGGCTCTGCCTCACCATGACTGGGCAATGCTGAAAGCATCAGTGTGAGAGACAGCAAAATTTCCAGCATGCTGCAGCAGAAACACATAGCTTCTCACCTCTTCAGGTCCCAAGCCATGGCCAGAATGACAAAAGGATGAGCCAGATAGCAAATTATTTGCCAAAATTTCTGACTTTTCCCGTGCATCCAGGCTGCTGCCATTACAGTGACTTGCTATTTCTCATTCCCCAGGTCAGATCCAGCGATATGCAACCAAGCAGGTGCCATGGGCACTTTCGGCCACAATAGCACATACCTTCCTAATAGCTGCCGTGGGCTAAAGGAGGTGCATTGGAGGACAGGGGAGCTTTGAGATAAGCAAATGAGCGATTCTGTGGCCTCATCAGCAAGCCCAGAACAATTAAATAATTAAATTTCCTTAAATTTCTTATAAATGTGGGAATATGCAATGGTAAAGTCTTATTTGTTCCTCAGGCGGGATGCAACAGCAAGACCCCTGTCTGGAAGGCACAGCATCCCTGCCTTCATCTCGGGATCTGGTCTGTCACATCCCATCCCCCCAACACATTGTAGGATGTGGATGGATCCGTGAGACATCCCTATCCTTGGAAAATAGGCCCAGGGTCCCTGGAGGTGGGCTGGGCAGAGCCCTGGGGTGAGAAGACAACCTGGACTACGTGTGGAGGAGGACCAGGAGGAACCCCATGAGCAACCTGCCACAGCCCCAGGCACAGCTGAGGGGTAGATAGCAATAGCAGAGAGATGTCTCAGACCTTGAATTTTCTAAGGGCAGCAGCAGGACTGGCTTCTCTAGGACTTCTGATCTGCTGATAAAGCCTTCTGCTCTAAACAGCCATTTTTTTTTGCTGAGCTTTTGCTAAGAGACAAGCAGCAAGCAAAGATAGCAAGCTCTGCATGCTTTCCCAGATAGATAACGTGGAAGCAAGTCATGGGGAACCCAAAGTTCACTCTCATTTTTATTTCTTCACAAGCCATTCCTTTTTCTCTGTAACAGGGTTAGATTGCTTTTATAGGGCCTTATTATGGGCAGGAACCTGTTATGTCACTTCCTTGCCAGGTGCAGCTGGAGAGTCCCTGCCCCAAGGAGTTCATAAGCAAAAACTAGCAGGGTTGGGAATGGGATTATCCCGTGTTGCAGGTGGGGATTTGGTCATGGAAAGGAATTTGAGAGAGAGATGGGAACTGGCCTTCAGTCTTGTACAGCTCAAGACAGCTCCGGCTTGTTTTCAGGATAAATGACATTATTCTAGATCCAGGAGAAGGAAGAGGGATGGAGGGCAATCCTGCACTGGTGGGTATGTATTCCTGAGGGTGCTGCACGTTCTTGAGCGTGGGTAAACTTGTGGGTGCTCACGTGGGTACCTGGGACTCAGGGGGCATCCCTGGAGGGGACCACCAGACCCAGAGGCCAGGAGCTCAGGTGCTACCAAGGAGGATGCTCAGCGGCCCTGCGGGGCTGGGCTTATGGAGATGCTATGACACACCACGAGAAGAGTGACGATGAAACCACAGGCTCACAATTTTAAAATTTCCTTTGGGAGTAACTGAAGTTGCACAGCCGTGGAGCCAAACAGCTTTTATTCTTCCTGTGGTGTGGGTTTGTCAGCCAACCAAACCCAGCATGGACTGGGAAGCTGCGTAACTCGGGACCTGCAACCTTCCCTGTCCTGCAGCATCTGCGCAGCTGATGTGAAGGGCCAGCCTTGCTATCTGCTGCAGGTCTTCGTGTGTTTCTATGTCTTTTGGTGTCAAAGAAATTTCGGAAACAGCCCTGAAGGCTCAATGAAATGAACACCGTGTTTGCTCTCTTTAACAATCTCTCTATTAAACAAGGTGTGGGAGGTGGGAGGCAGTACTTGGCATTGAGTCTGGTTTATTAAACAGATGTTTTTAAGCCGCAAATGTGTTTTTCTGGGTTGTTAATGGCACTTGCTGAAAATAAAAGGGCAAAGAAGTGAGTGGGGGCCATGCCAGGCAGCTGCCCGCATCCCCAGGACCCGGAGTCCTGTGGGGTGGGAAGGGATGTCAGAGCTGGGGCATCGCTGGATCCCCGGGCTCTCCTGCTGTGGGAACGGGGACTTGGGGGATACCCAGGTCCTGTTCAGCCGCGTTCCCCGAGCTCTGAAGCCACGCTGGGGGAGAGATTTACCCATCTGGGCGTTGTTTCTTCCTCCTGGGCCGATGCAAATGTTTTGTGCCTGAGTCCCCTTCCACGCCCTAAGGGGACTGTCAGGTTCAAGTCACTGTGCCCCATATTCCCCACCAGCCTCCGCGGGAGAAAGGAAGAGGCACCTCCTTCCACTCCTTCCTGCAGCAGATTTGAATAACCAGGTGTGAGCATCAGCCTCCCTCGTTAATGCGTTTGATAATTGACCAAGCGCTCATTCCTGTGGGAGGGCGGCGTGCCCAAGCGCAGTGCCCTGTGAGGAGGGGCTGTGCTTAACTGCCTCTCCGTGCCCCGAGAACCCACGGCCCTGCCTGTCGCCATGCCTGCCCGCTGCCGTCGCCTCCTCCTCCTCCTCCTGGGGCTGCTCCTGGTGCTGGAGCCTGCCTGCTGCCAGGAAGGTAAGTGCAGGTAGCTGCCTGACCTCCCGGGGAAACTGAGGCAAGGGGAAGGCGGGAAGGCGTGCCAAGCCCCAGGCAGGCGGGAGCTGCTCGGTGGGGTGGTTTTAGGGACAAGGGACGACTGTGAAAGGGACTCTTAGGAAGAGAAAAAACGTGCCAGCTCCTGTCCAAGCTTCAGCTCCAGCTTCACATCAACAGGCGATGGGGATGGGTGGGTGTCTGGTGGGTTGGGAGGTCTTACTGGTGCTGGGACATGGAGACTTTCTGCCTGTTTTGCTGAAGGTTGAAACTGCTGTCCGAGGTTTATTTCTCCTGCTTACATGGAGATAAAGCAGCTCTGATTCACCTCTGGCAGGACTGTGCACCGAGATGAGTAATCTGTTTTCTTAAGGCTTCTTTTTTTTTTTTTTTTTTCTTCTCGCTGCCGTCCCTGGGCAAGCGTCGTGCTGGGTAGTTCCCCGAGCTCACAGGTTTTCCTGTTAATCTGTAATTTTGATCATTGCTGAGGTGAGGGAGCAAATATTTTCCTCTGCAAATTGCCCTCCAATTCCCTTCCCAAAGACTTAAAAGAGAAACTTCCTATGGCTAGGACGTTATTTTTAGGAAATTCGTGGAACGACTTGTCTAATGCTAGAAATAACAAGGAGTAATTAGAACTCATCTGATGCTGCCAGAGTCCTGGAAAATTCCCTCCCCCTTTCTCCTTCTGATGCCCCAGCCCTGAC